AAATAAATATATATATATATATATATACACACACACACACAAGACTGCATCTGAAGGAGATAAAGGCACTGATTTAACAGAAGGCATTCATTCGAGAAAAAAAAACTCCCTAGGACAGGAAACAGTATACACCAATATCTTAATAAATAAACATCTCTTTCACCTCAATGTCTGCTGTGATGAAATGGTGGGTGGAAAAGCCCTATTGCTTCAAAAACCAAACTGATTCCAAGTGCCCATGTACTTTTAAAATCATCTTCATTGATCGCCAACGAACCGAACGCAACTCTTAGCTTATGGACTGAGAATGACTTGGGAAAAGAACTCAAAAAACTTTTGACTGTGCGTGTTTGAGCCTCTAGGTGGCATCCCAGTCCATTGATTTGAACTGGATGACAGACTGGCGGTGATCCGAGGGCGGTCCATGGATCATGTGATCCACCGTCTCCAGGGCGTCCATACTGCTGTGGCCGTTTGGTAACAGATGCGTCTGTTCGGAGGAAGATGATGACGGCGTGAAGTGTGAGGAGGAGGAGCTAGAGTCCGAGAGGGAGGAGTTTGTAGGCGCTGATGCAAATAAGGAGGAGTGAGGAAGAGGGGGCGGAGTCAAGGATGGCAGGGCTTGTGAGGTGAACGGGTATTGAAGCTGCGAATTGGGGGAGGGGTAACCGAAGTCCAAGTTGTCGAAATCAAACTCATCGTTCGTTCTTTCTGTAGTAGGCTGAGTGGCATGCGATTGCATGGCTTGGGGTTGCGATGGCAGGGATTGCGACTGCAAGGATTGCGACCGAAGGGGTTGCGACTGCGCATGTTCGCTCGCGTGCTGTTTCGACAGCAAGTGTGCGTTCAAAGTGTGCATCATGCGTTGACTGTTTGGGTGCCGTGCAATGCGTGGGGAATGCGCCGACACGCCGGATTGCTGTTGCATTTGCATGAATAGCTGCAGCATGAGCGACGTGTCTTGGCCTCGCTGCATCTGCGACAAAATCGCACGCGAGCCACTCTGTTGCTGCTGCTGTGTTAGCACACCAAACGACGAATGATTCTGCTTTAGTGTGTGAACGTGCTGTTGTGAAACATTCAAAGCGGCATGTGACGACATGAGCATGTTCGGGGTTAACGCCACCTGCCTGTGTCTCTGCTGCTCCTGGGAAATCAAATCTTCCAGGTTGAATGTCTCGGGGACAGCCGCGCATGGGCGTCCTCTTCCACCTAGCATGCCTCCGTTTAGCGACACACCGTTTAAGTCTGGCGCAGGCGTTTTGATGTCCGGCGATGGGCAGGGGCTGATGGTCAGATCCAGGACTTCGCTGACGGCTTCGCTCTTTGGCTTCGCCGCAGGCGGCAGAAGGGATCGTGGGTAATGAAGGTGGTTCTGAAGCGAGTGGGGAGGGTTTGCGATGAGCTTGCGGGCGTTGATCATCTTGGTCAGCATCTCTTGGCGCAGACGCTGGTCATTTGCGAACTGTTCTCTCTCCCGTCGCGCTTTCTTCACCTCCTCGTCCATCCGAGAGAGCTCAGCGCGCACACGGGATACGCAGTTCTCTGGGATTTTTATACCTGTGTCACACAAACACACAAGATTGTTATTTTCTTCTTAAGGAGGGAAAATCAGACATGCAGTCAAAACCAAAAATTATTCAGACACCAGATATAATTTTTGATATTTTTTTTACTAGTGGGTGCAGGACACTATAGTTCATTTACATAAGTGAGGATAGCAAAATAACGTAAACTGTGACATATACCCAAAAATGCTTCATAGAGTGGACTACCAGTAAAATTGATAAAAATTTGGGACCAAAAATTATTCAGACACTTTGACCTGACCATGTTTTGCTTAAGTGTTTTTCTTTAATTGCTAATGCGACCTATTTACACCACAAACTGAAGAAAATTACGCATTGCTTGGTAATTGGTTGACCTAAATTGAGCGTTCGCAAGGAGATTGACAGGCGATCTGACCAATCAGAACGCAGACATTGTGTGCCGCAACTGCTATCCGCCATCTTGCCCGACAGCTACGGCCGGTCTCCATAGAAATCCATGTTAAAACGGGGTAAAAAAGATAGACTGAATTGAAACTTTTTCAATATAACTAAATATAAAAATGTGCGGAGGGTTAAGCTGTGCTGTTGGCGGCCATAGTAACGACAATAACTAAGGAATTCCTTTAAAGTACTTGTTTTGCGTACCAGAAAACCTGTCATGTCAAGTGCTGTATGCGCTTAAGTTAAAATACTGCGTGTGAAATAATAAAATAATATGTTAAAACGTGTGCTCTTATTATCTTGAGGACAAAATCCTGTGAACTTCGGCCCGATCGGGAGCTGTATATTTACATGCGTGCTCATCTGTTTTCAATGCAGTTGCTTCATGCCATCTTCCCACTCATTAAACTATGACAGGTCCTTTACTGCAAAAAGACGGTCACTGTGACACTCTAAAGTGAAGAAATTATGGCGTTATATTGTTGACTCGGAAAATATGTAAATGCGCATGCCCAGTAGCAGCAGCTGTATCCCTTCTAGCCTTAACCACAAATCACAGGAGAGTAGATTAACTTTGGTGGACTTAAACTTGAAAAATGGTGTGTTCCGCGGTTGAAATACAATACTTTCTGATGTTTATTTATGTTCATTTCGTGATTTACATAAATATGATAAAATGATCGGTTCACATGTTTGAACTGAGGCAATACAGTGATCTGTCACGACACATTAAAGAGTAACAAAACACTATTTATTGTTTGAATTTCTTTAAAAATGACAAAATTTGAAAGCTGAGAGTCCTGAGACCTTGTTTCATACCAGAAGTAACCTGCTCTGTCTTGTCAGTCGGCATGTTGTCAGTTTTTTGTATTTTTCACTGCCTGAGAACATGGTGTGTAGTGTGAGAGCGGCGTTGTTTGTCGGGGATGGCAACAGTAACGAAGAAGGGCGGGTCTTCGCGAACGGTCAATTGGTTTTATCTAATTGTGTACTTAAATTTAACAGCTGACAGCTATTTAACCTAATTAATTACATACCTTTTTACCAAAGTTATCTGACATTATCAAGATGAATTTGTTCTGACACAGTTTAACTCTTGAGTTCTTGTCATATTTTATTACCATTTTCTAAACTATAGCGAATAAACTATGATAATGTGAGAAATGTTGAAGGTGTCTGGATAAATTTTGGTTTGACTGTATAAAAGCCCGTTCACACCAAAAGTGATAACTATATTAGCGTCCACACCAACACACGATAACGTTGTTTATTAAAAGTGTGTGCTGCAGTTTTGTCATCTGCTGCTTTAAATGAACAAGCTCTTTAAAGTCAGGTGGATTCTGATTGGCTGTCAATGTTTTTATTGTTCATCAGCCAAAAATAATTATTCTATAAGTGATTGCGACGGTATCTTTCAGCTGCAATTTGATTTTTAAAGCTATATCATTATCGTCCTTGGTGAGAATGGGCCTTAACTCTTAATTGTGATAATCTATACTCAGGACAAGTTTTAAGATAAATCTGGGATATTCATTGTTAGAGCTGCACAATAACAGATAAACGGTTAATCGTGATATAAATGAATTAATGAAACTAATGAATAAATAATCGTGATTATTGTGATTTAAATTTCTTTTTATATTTCATCAGAATTATTGCACTTTCAAAAAAGCACAAATCAAGATAACATCAACTGGTTCACTCGCAGATTTAGTCACAGCAAACAGTGCAAACAAGCACGTGAAAGGAAACGGACCAGCTGCATTACACTTTTATTTGATAAAATACTTTTATTTATATAAAATAACACTTTTATTTGGGGCAATAAGCCCCAAGAAGCCGTGGTTTACAGTGAATTTATAACAGCTAAGGGGCTTATTGCTTTTATAAAACGGTTATATACATATACATAGAAAGGTTTCACAAAATAAAACAGAGCAAATAAAGTGTAATGATATTAATAAAAACAGTATTCTTCCACCAAACAATGTAGTTCCTCAGAAACAGTTGTGGTTGCAACAAAGTGGTTGCCGAGCAACAGACAAACGTAAACAAAGGTGTGTGTTTGTAGAGTAATTTACAACAGCTTCGAACGTGGCTCAGCCAATCAGAATCCAGGACCGGAACTAACCGTTTTATAATAGAGATTGCTAAACTCCAAACTTACATATTTGCCAGTATTTTAAGCTCATGAGCACTTTTTTCATAATGTAGACAGAGTGCATGCACATGGTTACCTGGTTGAGAACATTTAGCAAACCACTGAGCAGAAAATGTATCAATTTCAGAAAAAATCTCTGATTGGGGGATTTACTATCTTGACATCTGGCAACCGCAACTATGAAGCTTGTGAAGGCTTGTTACCAATGTAAGATACTGCAAATGCCAAATTATAATGAAATGTTTTCAGGATAAATAACCAGTCAATTTATGAAAAAAGCTCTACTTGGGGATTTAAAATCTTGACATTTGGCAACCGCAACTACAGAAGCTTGTGGAGGGGCTTGTTACATTTATATTTACATTTAGTCATTTAGCAGACGCTTTTATCCAAAGCCACTTACACAGGAGGACAATAAAAGCAGTCAAAACTAACAAAAGAGCAACAATATATAAGTGCAAATGACAAGTCTCGGTTAGCCTAACGCAGTACACGTAGCAAGGTGTGTGTGTATATATATATATATATTATACACACACACAAGTAGAAAAACAAGTAGATAGAATAGAAAAAATAGAAAGCTATTTATTTTTTTTTTTAAATAAAGAATAAAAAAAAATTTAAAAAAAGATAAATATAGATAAAGTAGAATTAAAATAGAATAGAAAGTGCTAAAGTTAGAGGGTCAAATAAAGGTGGAACAGATGTGTTTTTAGTCGTTTCTTGAAGATGGTTAAGGACTCCGCTCGGATTTATTTGGGTAGGTCATTCCACCAGGAGGGAACAGTTAATGAAAAAGTCTGTTAAAGTGATTTTGTGCCTCTTTGAGATGGCACAATAATACGTCGTTCATTTGCAGAACGCAAGCTTCTAGAGGCACATAACTCTGAAGTAATGAATTTAGGTAAAGGGGTGCAGAGCCAGTGGTGGTTTTGTAGGCAAACATTAATGCCTTGAATTTAATGCGAGCAGCTACTGGTAGCCAGTGCAAATTGATGAACAGAGGTGTGACATGCATTCTTTTCGGCTCATTAAAGATTAATCTTGCAGCGGCATTTTGGATTAATTGTAGAGGTTTGATAGAAGTGGCTGGAAGACCTGCCAAGAGAGCATTGCAATAGTCCAGCCTGGACAGAACAAGAGCTTGAACAAGGAGTTGTGTTGCATGTTCTGAAAGAAAGGGCCTGATCTTCCTAATGTTGTATAAAGCAAATCTGCAGGAACGGGCAGTTTTAGCAATGTGGTCTGAGAAATGCAGCTTATCGTCAATCACAACTCCAAGGTTTCTAGCTGTTTTTGAAGGAGATTGTTACCAATGTACGATACTGAAAATGCCAAATTACAATGAAATGTTTTCAGGATAAATAACCGACAGGCAGGTGTATTAATACTGCAGGTGATTATGTTAAATAAATCGAGAGAAGCAGAAATCCTGATGGTGATTAAAATACAATTTATCGTGCAGCCCTATTCATTGCAATAATTCTTTTGCTAGGAAACAGGATTGAGAAGTAACAGATAACAGAACGTCAACTCACCAACTTGCTTGCTGTTCTGTTTGGTTTTGAGCCGTACGATCTGCAGGATGCTGGAGTTGGTGATGTCCGAGACTATGTCAGACACTCGTTTCCAGACCCTCAGCAGCGCTCCACACAGCATGTGATACTGCCTGAGACGCATCCCCAGAAAACACTCCTGACCCTGCTCGATCAGCTTACACTTACCATTCCTACCACAAACACACAGACACACAACACTGTTAAAGCTGAGGTTACATTCAATGTTACTGTGTGAAATTCTGAGAGTGAAATTCAATCATTTCAATGCGAATATCATCTAATGGGCTTCCATTAGCAAAGAAATTTCCCTATGCGATTTTTGTGTTGGGTTCAGGTTCATTAAACTGCGAAACACAAATTTGCAGCAAAGTTGAAGATTCACAATGGACAAGGCGCTCATTCTGGCAGTGTTAACTAAATATAAATTGTTAACAAACTAAATCTAAAACTACTGGAAATCACTTTTGATAACTGAATTAAAGCTTAAATACATCAAAATAAAATATGAAACCTAAAAATACTATATATAAAGATGTGAAAAAATAAATCACTAAAATCACAAATCACACAACAACTTCAAGTTGAAGTTCTAACCAAGTAATAAGTTTAGGTTATTAATTATATTATTAAATTACAAATACCAAAACTTAGATATAAATGAAAGATAAATATAAATATTAAAAAAACTAATAAAAAAAACTAAAGCACATAACAAAATGACTAAAACTCACTTATTGTAAAAAAAAAAAAAAAAGTGAAAACCACTGAAATTTTGTTAATTCAAAAAATTGCTTAAATATAACAAAATAAAATTATATGAAATATAAAAAACTGTATAAAAATTATATGAAAAAATAAACCTAAAAACAACTACATTGACTACAATTACTAAAACTCAGATATAAATTAAAGTTAAATATAAACATTAAAAAAACAAAACGACTAAAATTAAAACTGAAAATGTGAAAAACTCTAATTCAAAACATTAATAAACATTATAATAGTATATGAATAATACTAAAACACTGTTTTGTATCACACTACACATCAATATCATAAAATCATCCATAAAAAAATAAGCTGTTTGGAAAGCAAAAAGGGTTGGTTCATTTGCTACCTGGCAGAATAGCTTTGCGTGTTTATTTCATCATCATCATCATCATCATCACCTTTGAAACATTGCAGAGCAACAGTAAATGTGACCACACCTTTAATGGGTTAGTTCACCCAAATTACATTACTCACCCTCGTGTTGTTCCAAACCCGTAAGACCTTCGTTCATCTTCGGAACACAAATTACGATATTTTTGATGAAATATGAGGGCTCTCTGACCCTCCCATAGACAGCAAGGTAACTACCACATTCTACTACACATGTAAAGTTACGAAGCTAAAAAAGTATTCTCGTAGCTTCGTAACTTTACAGTTGAACCACTGATGTCACATGGACTACTTTGTCGATCATCTTGGTACTTTTCTGGACCTTGAATGTGGTAGTTATGATTTTCATTATGTGGGTTGTGCACCGGCACGGCTCCAGCGCGGATGAATCTAATGTTTTGAGGAGTATGTGTGGCGGATCCTGTACTTTGGAATCACAGATTCTAGCCAAATAAGAATTTTCACCGGATATTGTCATCTGAACAAGTAATAAGTCTGCCACTTTTGTTCTGACCAACTGAGGAAAAAAACATTACAATAAATCGCACTACCAATGGTGATTAAATCTTAACGATCGGTTAGCTCATATCACATCAAACCGTGCAAATTATTATTGTTGTTATTAGGGCTGCCCTCAACTAAAGATTTTTCTGGTCGACTAGTAGTCGTTCATTTGAAGCATTAGTCGACTAATCGCACGTTTATTAATAAACCACTTAAATCATAATATTGAGCCTTTAATTGGCTACATTGTCTAATAAGCACTCAAACGCACGCATAAAGCTTGCCACAGCACACCGACAGAAGTAATGATTATGAATGTGTCAGGGAAAAATAGTAAGGAGGCTGCATTAACATTTTAATAATTCATTGATAAACGAGTCTAGTGCTTTCTTTGTTTTCGGTTTAAGAGATGAAGTCGGCGACACGGACTCATCATCTCCGCAGTAGTGATGCGCCTGTATGTATGTTTCATACGTATTACATAAACCGAGAATATTTGTCTTCCATTTGAATTGTAAGGCAAGCATACACGGAGTTTCTGAGTTTTGCGCTCAAGTTCACAGAGACCGAGACGGCAGAAAGTGCATCCTGTTTGTTTTCATTGTTTTACAAAAGCGCCATGACTTGTTGTTATTGTGAGTGCACACAAATAAACGTAGAGTCTTTACGGATTCAAAAGATGTATTACTCTTATCTGTATAAGCAAAAATGAGGGAGTATTTTAAGAGCAAGTGAGCGCACCGATCACAAACTGTTAAAGTTAACAACATCAGCATTGCGTGTATGTAGTGTGTATTAGCGTAACATGTAGATTTCAATTTCTGTCCAGTCTAATCTCTAATTGTCATACCATTCGAATTTCATTTAAAGAAATTCTTTTAATCCAAAAAGCAAATTATTCTTCCTTAGAACTGATTCTCTTTAAAATAGAAAACTTGTGTAATCCCACGTAGGCTATCTGTAATCAGATGCTCATTTAAAACTAGAATATAATCTAATTTAAATCACATGTATTTCATAAACACATAATCCTTTCTGGATTACAATCCGCTATCAAAATGATAAATTTAATTATTCCAGCTGCTGTAAGAAAAGGCTATAAACGATCCGCCACCTGCAGGATCCTCACATGGGATATAGCCTATTACCCGGGAAAACTTCTTTATGTTTACAGAAGTGACGTAATGACGCAGCGGCATGCTCGAATGACCCACGAATTCCTACCAGTACCACTCAAATTAGAAAACATTATTCAATTAAGATAACCGTTGTGAATCGGGCTAAAGTAATGCGATAGTTTTGAACACTGGCTGGTTATGTACTTGCTCAAACATTGATTTCGGATCATTTTTAACCAAAAAAAGTTACGGACTGCAGCTTTAAACACACACCCTTCATCAGTTTACAGAGTTGTATTATAGTTGTTAATTAGCTATTAGTGCAAATTACAACAAAAACCTAGCAAAGAAAAATTGTGAGGATTTTTCTGGCACATACTGAAATACATTTTCAAAAACAAAAAGTATCAGGGTCAGAGTCTCTACTGACACAAATTGTCACTCACCAGTTGGCATGCGTGCAGTTGGTGAAAGAAAAGTCAAACTGACTCTTCCAGAAATCCTTTGCTTCATCGGGTGTCACCTTCAGAGCGGGAAGAAAAACACTTGTAGAACATGCTTTGCATTTAGTGTGAACCTGGACCACTAAAATTGGCAAAAAGTGGCTTTTTTAAATGCTGTTTTTGATTTTTTAGTTCATCATAACACTTGATATTTTTACAATATTGTATTTTAGGGCTAGTTATATGTTTAATGCAGCCAGTCAGACATCTGTATTCACAGTCTCAGAGGAGACTGAATGAGATATAAAGTTGTTTTAATAGAAAAATAATCAGTAATCTCTATAATCCTGCCAGCAACTCTGATCTTAATTGTTTGTACTCAGGTTTGGACCAAAAAATCAAACCGACTTTTACATTCAAACATACGTGTGTGCTCGTGACAGACCCGGTCTCTACCACTGGATGTCACTGTGCAACAAGAGCTCTGATTTAACATTATATTCAGGGGTGCACATAAGTTTTTCAGCCTGGTTCTCATAAGATCACTTTGAGATTTGGCTTGGTCCTCACACTGCACATAGTGTGACCCATTAAAAACAACTATAAAAATAAATGAATAACAGTGATAATATTATTGCACTTTATTTATTTAGTTTTTTAAAAATAAATTAATAAACATAATAATAAAGTGTGCTAATACTATTATATTTATAATTATTGTTATTTTAGTATTTTATAGTAAACTTAAAAATAAAATGCTAATATTTGCTTTTTTTTTTTTTAAATATGAATTTTCATTATTTTCAAACTTAAAATCAGCAAGCTTTTATTTTGGCGGGTTGCCGGGAAGTAAGTATATGCGCTTCCGGGTTTAGCGCTGCCGATTGTAGAGCGTCAACTGAATGAAATGTCACAGTTTTGCATTGTGCTTTGAAAACGTTAGCGGGTAGCCTATATTTATGCTTTCACTTT